CAGTATAATATGTCAGATCAGTATAATATATCAGATCAGTATAATATATCAGTATAATATGTCAGATCAGTATAATATGTCAGATCAGTATAATATATCAGATCAGTATAATATATCAGATCAGTATAATATGTCAGATCAGTATAATATATCAGTATAATATATCAGATCAGTATAATATATCAGATCAGTATAATATATCAGATCAGTATAATATGTCAGATCAGTATAATATATCAGATCAGTATAATATGTCAGATCAGTATAATATATCAGATCAGTATAATATGTCAGATCAGTATAATATGTCAGATCAGTATAATATGTCAGATCAGTATAATATATCAGATCAGTATAATATATCAGATCAGTATAATATATCAGTATAATATATCAGATCAGTATAATATATCAGTATAATATATCAGTATAATATATCAGATCAGTATAATATATCAGATCAGTATAATATGTCAGATCAGTATAACATGTCAGATCAGTATAATATATCAGATCAGTATAATATGTCAGATCAGTATAATATATCAGTATAATATATCAGATCAGTATAATATGTCAGATCAGTATAATATATCAGATCAGTATAATATATCAGATCAGTATAATATATCAGATCAGTATAATATATCAGATCAGTATAATATATCAGTATAATATATCAGATCAGTATAATATGTCAGATCAGTATAATATGCATATCAAAGTAATTTTTGTAATTATCGCCACTTAATGATACATTATTTATGCTATATACTATGGTTAAACCATGCATTGCTTGCTCACCACCGATACTTGCCAGCGTGACATGTTCACTTTAAAATGTTTTCTTAATATTTCTACGCATTGTTGGAATACGATGTAAGGATGTTATCAGATATACCTCTACTATAGATATATACACCTTACAGAGGTAACGTAACACTCTCTGGTTTGTATGTACGGGTACATGCTGAAGGATTGCGATGTGTGGTAGGAGATGGAATCATGACTCGGACTGACAGTGATGTCACAAAGTATGATAATCGTTGGATAAGTAAAACGAGAATACTCCCTGATTGACGGAACAAACTTAATCCTTGAAAGAAAATGACAGGGTACCTTTTGGATCTGAAGACAGATCATGTAATATCCATGTTAGAAGATGCCACACATATATGTGAAGCACAATTCTGATACACATGTACTGCTGTAAGTCAATGGCTGTAGGCCTAATACTGATTATTTATCATTTGTAACCATGACAACCGGAGTTGGAAGCAGATTTGAGAAGACATTCCCGGAAGCGGAAACGGATATTATGGAAAGGAAATAACAAAGCAAGTCGAAACACCGATAGACGAGACGAATTCCTTATACTATTTGTCGTTTGTATGAAGGTTTATAAATCTTACTAATTTACGTACCTACCAGGTTCCGGTACCAATCTGTACCGTTTGCCTACATCATATTGTGATATGTTCTACAACAGACAATTCAGCTACATTGAATTACAACAGGAATACATACACATAAAAAACCAAGCCAATACCAACATGGTAACATCATCAAAATTCAAACTCGCATTCCGTAAAACGAGGTCAAAATATGAACAATAGAAAGATTTACACGGAGACTCCCGCAAAAGTGCAAGGAGAATAAGTCTAGGTGTTCCGGAAGAGTAAGCATTTTCTGCTTCATCGACGACAAACCTTTGTCAATCCAAGTAAGTAATGTCACCTTCTCGAATGATAATAAGGTATACAACAACGGAACCAACAGGCAAACTAACGAGCATCAAAGAAATATGAAACAAAATATTGGTCTGGTTGATTTACAACTGATTTGCGTGATTATAAATGTGTATGCTGATACAACTGAACAAAAGCTAAAAGTTTCACCAAGATCTCTGCATCTTAACAGAAGATGTGACCGATTATTTTTTCGGTATCAATAGGACAAAACATGGTTTATATATTGCCGAGAAATCAATCATCTTGAATTCATATACAGTTGAAGAATTGAATGGAGAGATATAACAATGTTTCAGCTTCCTCGAGGCATGTTTTCTTCCCGCGTCGCTTTGAATATTTTCTTTTGTTTTGAGTTCATAAACAAGAGATATATAAAGGAAGTCAGGAAGTCGGCTAAAAAAAATTCTAGTTTTGTACACGCTATGAACAATACGTGACCATTTTTCTATGCATTTTATGCCTCCTTATCGTAAAATCGGAAGCATATTGATTTTATGCTGTTTTTTGTCTGTTGTGAACTATGACGTTGCCCATTACTATTGCACCGTACGCAATAGGGCTTTCATAATTAGCATGTGACAAAAACCATTAAACCATGACCGTTACTTTTGACCTACATTTGAAGGAAAAAACAAATTGACCATGGTTTTTTGAACCATAAGAGGTATGACATTCATATTTCGCATTTGTGTGTTTTTTTTTTTTTTTTTTTTGGTGGTACCAAATTGTTTGAACATGTGACCTTGATCGTTTGACCTTACGTTTGAAAGTTGAAATAGAAATAATTGCTACAATGAAGACAAAAGTGTTTCTCAAAGTGTACATGTAATTAGCAAATGCCTTACAAAGTACATCTTTAATGACCCACTTGAGAAGTTTAACGTGTTAATGCTAAAACCTTTGTCAACATATTTAAATAAGGATATGCCTTTACTCATATATTAAGTGTACAGAACCTTTACATAACGGTGTATATATATAACAATATATACACATAAAAGTAGTATTAGATTCATTGACGAATCTATTGCATATTTCTGATAAACGACTTAAGATAAAATTCGTTTACATGATTACAATTGACTATGTCCAAATGCAAACAGATCATACCTATAAATAAACATACAAAGCGATTATTCGCATGAATCGGGTGCATAAGAGACACACCATATGGTAGAGACACCATCTGATTGAAATCATCACCATCTGATAGACACCATCTGATTGAATCATCACCATCTGAGAGAGACACCATCTGAGAGAGACATCATCTGATTGAATCATCACCATCTGAGAGAGACACCATCTGATTGAATCATCACCATCTGAGAGAGACACCATCTGAGAGAGACACCATCTGATAGAGACACCATCTGATTGAATCATCACCATCTGAGAGAGACACCATCTGATTGAAATCAACGCCATCTGAGAGAGACACCATCTGATTGAAATCAACGCCATCTGATAGAGACACCATCTGATTGAATCATCACCATCTGAGAGAGACACCATCTGATAGAGACACCATCTGAGAGAGACACCATCTGACAGAGACACCATCTGAGAGAGACACCATCTGATAGAGACACCATCTGATTGAATCATCACCATCTGAGAGAGACACCATCTGATTGAATCATCACCATCTGAGAGAGACACCATCTGAGAGAGACACCATCTGAGAGAGACACCATCTGAGAGAGACACCATCTGATAGAGACACCATCTGAGAGAGACACCATCTGATTGAATCATCACCATCTGATTGAAATCATCACCATCTGATTGAAATCATCACCATCTGATTGAAATCATCACCATCTGAGGCGATTATTTCAATTTTAAAAATAAATACGGATGAATTTGTTTATGTGTTCTATTTATAGATCAAATCCGAAGTTATGGCATGAATACAGATTTTGATCGATTTTGGTTAAGTTAAAAATAAAATTTCGTTAGATTTAATTGTCCATTCAAAAGCATTTATGCACAATAAGAGGAAGATAAAGTAACGTTATTGTAGTGAGGCGTATTCTACATCACATGAACCAATCGTGTAGCTGCAAGTAAAAACAGAATAAATCAGCGTTTAGATTTATTCACATCAGGCCTATTAAAAGGCTTGTACTATAGTCCTCTGTGTGTCACTTGTAGCATGACAACCAAACAGCACGTATAAGGTAAGCACAGAAACCATGGTACTGAATCTGTTGAATATGACTCCACAACTGTCAGACAAAACGGGTGTAAGTATGGGTTGACTGTGACTTCACAACTGTCAGACAAAACAGGTTTATGTGTTGACTGACTCCACAGCTGTCGGACAGAGGGGTTTAATTATGGGTTGACTGTGACTTCACAACTGTCAGACAAAACAGGTGTAAGTATGGGTTGAATATGACTTCACAACTGTCAGACAAAACAGGTGTAAGTATGGGTTGAATATGACTTCACAACTGTCAGACAAAACGGATGTAAGTATGTGTTGACTGTGACTTCACAACTGTCAGACAAAACAGGTGTAAGTATGTGTTGAATATGACTTCACAACTGTCAGACAAAACAGGTGTAAGTATGGGTTGAATATGACTTCACAACTGTCAGACAAAACGGGTGTAAGTATGTGTTGACTGTGACTTCACAACTGTCAGACAAAACAGGTGTAAGTATGGGTTGAATATGACTTCACAACTGTCAGACAAAACAGGTGTAAGTATGTGTTGACTCTGACTCCACAACTGTCAGACAAAACAGGTGTAAGTATGTGTTGAATATCGCTCAAAGGGCGTATAGATTATGTAAGTAGGTCAATGACTCTCAAACGGCGTATAGATTATGTAAGTAGTTCAATGCCTCTCAAATGGCGTATAGATTATGTAACTAGTTCAATGAAGCTAAAACGGCGAATAGATTATGTAAGTAGGTCAATGACTCTCAAACGGCGTATAGATGATATAACTAGTTCAATGACTCTCAAATGGCGTATAGATTATGTAACTAGTTCAATGAAGCTAAAACGACGTATAGATTATGTAACTAGTTCAATGAAGCTCATGTGGCGTATAGATTATATAACTAGGTCGATGACTCTCCAATGGCGTATAGATTATGTAACTAGGTCAATGACTCTCAAAAGGCGTATAGATTATGTAACTAGTTCAATGAAACTCAAATGGCGTATAGATTATGTAACTAGGTCAATGGCTCTCAAATGGCGTATGGTTTATGTAAAGGGTCATTTTCAGAATGGAATTCCAAGACGAACTTGCCGCGAAAACCAATAAAAATCAAAAGTGCGTGAGTTCACTGGAGTATGATGTTGGCGACTGGCCACCTTTTCTGATATCTCTGGCTGTAGCATGTCAGGTAAGCAATATTGCAACACGTGTATAGGTGTTATTCAGGTGTTTTAAAGGTGAAAATGAGTCTTGTGATATAGTTTACAACCAATTACTTTGCATACTAAGAACAAAATTTAAATACAACATAATTTATTTAGTAATATTCTTATACTTTTATATATAAAAGATAATATATATAATATTGTAATATAGATTTTGTAAAACTACAGGTAAACAATTCAATAAGGCAAATGATATAAAATTTGAAAACCATGTTATAATTGCTGTGTGATATTTTCTATGTCCCTAGTCCTACAGTAGACTTATATATTAGTACGAGATAATTGACGAAAAGTTCAAAGAAAATTTTAATAGAAGTTCATCATTTTTACTAATGCTAAAATAACAACGAGGAAAAATCTCAACATAGTGTTCGTTTGGGGGTTGTCGTTTTCTGTACATTACAATGTATGTTACATATATCATAGATATAGCTAAAAGTGTATATGCTGAATCAGTAGTATATTCTCTGTAATACCTTTTTAACAAAGAGTATGTGACATTTGACATCAACATTCATAATTTGGATCTTGCGTTGCGCGATGTCGATTTTTAATACATTAATTTTCTGAATGCTGAATGTCGAACTCGACATTCGACATTTAATATTCAGTAAATTAATGCCATGCATCTTGACAATGTTGAATGTCGGATGTCGAGATGCATGGTATAATTTTCCTAAATGTCGAATGTCGAGATGCATTGTATAATTTTCCTGAATGTCGAATGTCGAGATGCATGGTATAATTTTTCTGAATGTTGAATGACGAGATGTATGGTATAATTTTTCTGAATGTTGAATGTCGGATGTCGAGATGCATGGTATAATTTTCCTGAATGTCGAATGTCAAGATGCATGGTATAATTTTCCTGAATGTCGAATGTCAAGATGCATGGTATAATTTTCCTGAATGTCGAATGTCGAGATGCATGGTATAATTTTCCTGAATGTCGAATGTCGAGATGCATTGTATAATTTTCCTGAATGTCGAATGTCGAGATGCATGGTATAATTTTTCTGAATGTTGAATGACGAGATGTATGGTATAATTTTTCTGAATGTTGAATGTCGGATGTCAAGATGCATGGTATAATTTTCCTGAATGTCGAATGTCGAGATGCATGGTATAATTTTCCTGAATGTCGAATGTCGAGATGCATGGTATAATTTTCCTGAATGTCGAATGTCAAGATGCATGGTATAATTTTCCTGAATGTCGGATGTCGAGATGCATGGTATAATTTTCCTGAATGTCGAATGTCGAGATGTATGGTATAATTTTCCTGAATGTTGAATGCCGGATGCCGAGATGTATGGTATAATTTTCCTGAATGTCGAATGTCAAGATGCATTGTATAATTTTTCTGAATGTCGAATGTCGAGATGCATGGTATAACTTTCCTGAATGTCGAATATCGGATGTCAAGATGCATGGTATAATTTTCCTGAATGTTGAATGTCGAATGTCGAGATGTATGGTATAAGTTTCCTGAATGTTGAATGTCGAGATGCATGGTATAATTTTTCTGAATGTCGAATGTCAAGATGCATGGTATAATTTTCCTGAATGTCGGATGTCGAGATGCATGGTATAATTTTCCTGAATGTCGAATGTCGAGATGTATGGTATAATTTTCCTGAATGTTGAATGCCGGATGCCGAGATGTATGGTATAATTTTCCTGAATGTCGAATGTCAAGATGCATTGTATAATTTTTCTGAATGTCGAATGTCGAGATGCATGGTATAATTTTCCTGAATGTCGAATGTTGGATGTCAAGATGCATGGTATAATTTTCCTGAATGTTGAATGTCGAATGTCGAGATGTATGGTATAGGTTTCCTGAATTTCGAATGTCGAGATGCATGGTATAATTTTTCTGAATGTCAATGTTTAGATGCATGGTAAAATTTTTCTGAATGTTGAATGACGAGATGTATGGTATAATTTTTCTGAATGTTGAATGTCGGATGTCGAGATGCATGGTATAATTTTCCTGAATGTCGAATGTCGAGATGCATGGTATAATTTTTCTGAATGTCGAATGTCGAGATGCATGGTGTAATTTTCCTGAATATCGAACGGCGAGATGCATGGTATAATTTTCCTGAATGCCGGATGCCGAGATGTATGGTATAATTTTCCTGAATGTCGAATGTCGAGATGCATGGTATAATTTTCCTGAATGTCGAATGTCGGATGTCAAGATGCATGGTATAATTTTCCTAAATGTTGAATGTCGAATGTCGAGATGTATGGTATAATTTTCCTGAATGTCGGATGTCGAGATGCATTGTATAATTTCCTTGAATGTCGAATGCCGAGATGTATGGTATAATTTTCCTGAATGTCGAATGTCGAGATGCATGGTATAATTTTCCTAAATGTCGAATGTCGAGATGCATTGTATAATTTTCCTGAATGTCGAATGTCGAGATGCATTGTATAATTTTCCTGAATGTCGAATGTCGAGATGCATGGTATAATTTTTCTGAATGTCGAATGTCGAGATGCATGGTATAATTTTCCTGAATATCGAATGGCGAGATGCATGGTATAATTTTCCTGAATGCCGGATGCCGAGATGTATGGTATAATTTTCCTGAATGTCGAATGTCGAGATGCATGGTATAATTTTCCTGAATGTTGAATGTCGAATGTCGAGATGTATGGTATAATTTTCCTGAATGTCGGATGTCAAGATGCATGGTATAATTTTCCTAAATGTTGAATGTCGAATGTCGAGATGTATGGTATAATTTTCCTGAATGTCGGATGTCGAGATGCATTGTATAATTTCCTTGAATGTCGAATGCCGAGATGTATGGTATACTTTTCCTGAATGTCGAATGTCGAGATGCATGGTATAATTTTCCTGAATGTTGAATGTCGAATGTCGAGATGTATGGTATAATTTTCCTGAATATCGGATGTCGAGATGCATTGTATAATTTCCTTGAATGTCGAATGTCGAGATGCATGGTATAATTTTCCTGAATGTCGAATGTCGAGATGCATGGTATAATTTTTCTGAATGTCGAATGTCGAGATGCATGGTATAATTTTCCTGAATATCGAATGGCGAGATGCATGGTATAATTTTCCTGAATGCCGGATGCCGAGATGTATGGTATAATTTTCCTGAATGTCGAATGTCGAGATGCATGGTATAATTTTCCTGAATGTTGAATGTCGAATGTCGAGATGTATGGTATAATTTTCCTGAATGTCGGATGTCGAGATGCATTGTATAATTTCCTTGAATGTCGAATGTCGAGATGCATGGTATAATTTTCCTGAATGTTGAATGCCGGATGCCGAGATGTATGGTATAATTTTCCTGAATGTCGAACGTCAAGATGCATGGTATAATTTTCCTGAATGTCGAATGTCGAGATGCATGGTATAATTTTCCTGAATGTCGAATGTCGAGATGCATGGTATAATTTTCCTGAATGTCGAATGTCGGATGTCGAGATGCATGGTATAATTTTCCTGAATGTCGAATGTCGAGATGTATGGTATAATTTTTCTGAATGTTGAATGTCGGATGTCGAGATGCATGGTGTAATTTTCCTGAATGTCGAATGACGATATGTATGGTATAATTTTTCTGAATGTTGAATGTCGGATGTCGAGATGCATGGTATAATTTTCCTGAATGTCGAATGTCGGTAATGCATGGCGTTAATATTCTGAACGTTAATTGTCGAGTTGCATGACATTAATGTTCTGAATGTTGAATGTCGAATGTAGCATGCGGAGTAAACTTCTCACACAGTTCAAAGAAAACACTATTTTTCCTAGACTTCAAAGGTGGGTGTCTCAGTATTTGTTAGGTATGATATCTGTCAACATAAATTTGTATTTTGATACGAAATTGATGTTAAATCAGTTTTATGGTCGGCGTCTTAAATCATTGAACTTAATACGTTTGCTTTTATGAGATGTTGATATAAATAACATATTTGGTACCGAAGCCTGTATCCAGAATATTTGTACTTAATCAAATGAAGTGGTTTTCATCTCCGCTATTTAAAATTTTCTAAACGATAAACACTTGTTAATTGTGAAATGGCGCGGTATGTTATGACATCAAACAAGACAAAAAAAAAAAAAAAACCAATAAAACATTGATATTTAGATCAAATATTTCACCGATTAGAAAGATTGTCTCTTAACTATCTTTTCATCAATAAAAATATCATTTTTACAGCAGCATATTAGTAAAAAATGGCCCCAAAATTATCTACTTTAAACTGCGTTTCTTAATGCGAGTACTTTAGATTCTGTTTTCATACGCCTAAAGCCCTCTATAAATAGACCGGTTGTTTATTTTCCCAAAACATGATACTAATTTACTTTATTTTATTTTACAACAATTGCGAAGCAAGTTTTTCCAACTTATATAAATCACTCTTGTTGGCTCGGATGGAAGCGCGCGAGGGGTCTTAGTGTGGGAGATCACCAGCGTGTAGTTCCCTTAACTATGACCTATTTAGCGTTAATCTAGTTGATAATGCATCCTGTAGTTGTGGTCATCCTTGTGAGAATGTCTATCACTTTTTTATTGAATGTCCCCTGTTCTTAATTGAAAGGCGTATTTTGGTACATAATCTAAATATTTTGAATGTTCCGTTTGATATTGAACTTCTTTTATATGGTAATTGTAATTTTTCTGTGGACCTTAATTCAACCATTTTTAGACATGTGCAAAATTTTATTAAACCAGCAACAAATTTTGAGTTAATATGTATCAACATTTGTATTATCAGTATTGTATTGTATTGTATTGTATTGTCAGTATTGTACTATATTGGCATATTGTTTTGTATTGTCATATGTAATGTATCTTTGGAGAAGGCGTTGATAAGTTGTAATAACTTGTGCCTAATCCACTGTCTGTATTTGACAATAAATATGTTTAAACTAAACCAGCGTGCCCGGGGAAATCCCACGTGGTCGGGCAAGCGACCCCATACATCTATTGGGGGAATGAAAAATCACAAGTTTAATGTTGAAACATTACGCTCAGTTTTTGATACTTATGCTAGTAGTATATTAACATAAGCAAGTGAAGTTTGGTGATTCCATAAAGCTACTGATGTTGAAAAAGTACATTCACATTTTTGTAAAAAGATTTTAGGTGTTGCGAAAAGTCCATATCATGATCTAGTTTATTTTGAATTAGGAAGATTACCAATGTATATTGTCAGAAAATTGAAATTAATGAAATATTAGACTAAAATCAAAGATAAATATAATTGTGTGTTGAAAGCATGCTATGAACAAAGATTATTTGATAACGATGAGTGGATTGTAAATATTAAGTTAGAACTAGATAAATTAGGATTAGGGTACTTATGGAACAGCAGTCATGACAGAAAACTAGTATACAAGTTAATAGAGAGTAAGTTTCAAGAAATTCATATTCAAGAATTGTTGAGCAATATTCGAAATTTTCCGAAAGGTTATTTATATCATCACTTTATCGGCAATTTTGGGCTGCAGTATTATTTAAGGAAACCTATCGATTATCGATTCAAGAAATGTATATCAAAAATAAGATTATCATCACATCAGCTCAGTATTGAAAGTGGTAGATATAGGAACGTAGCCAGATAAAATAGGATCTGTACACTATGTAATAATAGAGATATTGAAGACGAATTCCATTTTATTTTAAAATGTACCTTTTATGTTGACCTCCGATCTAGATATTTGAAATCATGTTATTTTCGCAGACCTAGTGTTTTCAAATTAATTCAGCTTCTGAGTATAAACAATGTAAAGGAATTAAATGCCCTTGGAAAATTGATTCATTATGTATCTAAACGGCGATCTGAATTATTATAGGCATACTAAGCAAAATATTATAAATTAGATTTGATTTGTAAAACGTTAACTTTTTCATACACAACATTGTTTCCTTTCATTGATAAGGGTATGCGCGGATTCGCATGTGTGCTTACAATGTATGTAAACGTTCATGTGAAGGTGTGTGTGAGAATGTGCTTTATAATTTGGTTACGTTCTGGATATGTATTTATATGAAGTTGTACATGTTTATTATACATTATTAAGCATACTCGTCAAGGGAGGTCACTCTCCATATATGTCAATTATAACATGTTTATGTATGTATGTATAATATTCATGTAAACCTATGGGTTGTAAGGCCCCCTGAATAAACTTGAACCACGGACGGCTAGGTGAAAGATTAGTGCGACCACCCTAAAAACCAGCATCAATACTACAGGTTATGCAGTAGTGTGTTCTTATACTTATGTACGAGAGTCAGTATATAGTCGCAAAGCAAAATTTATATGTCTACCTTATATAGAGGATACTTCATCGGTTTCTATATGATATCATACATTTTTCACGAGTATGACAAAAAAATTTTTTTTCACAATTAAAAAGCACGAGTGAAAAAAAAAACACGATATGTTCAGTTATACGAGTAAAATTTAAGTCCCCTTTTGTTACTTATATTAAAAATAATAATAATAATAATAATAATAATAATAATAATAAAAACAAGACAAAACAAACAAAAAAACAAACAAATCAAACAAGCTGTGTTTATAAACCACTGTGTTCCCGGTTGCAACAAAATTAGAAGTGAGGAACATGCTAATTGCATGGACACTTCTTCATTGGGGAAATGTTGTTTTATTCTTTTTTTAAATTTTCAAATGTAGGTCAAAGGTCACGGTCTAGGTCATATGGTGAAAGGTTTTGGTACCACCGGAAAGGTCACAATGAATACAACATTGAACAATTGACTGCGTTTAAGAGCGAGAAAAATAATTACTTTTTTTTTCAATTTCCTTTGTGTTGAGTAAACAGATTAATTGTTATACCATTTTAAATTTGAGGACATATCATAGTCTTTTTTGGTAAAACAGTTTAAACTGGAACAGTAGATGTGGTGCAGTAATCACTCTGTAAATATGGTAACTATGGTAACTATGAGACAACTACGTGACGTGAAAGGCGTGAGGCCACATTTAGATGTTTGTGTCGGCGTTATGATAACGAGGATATGGTACCATGACGTATGATTTGTGTTACAGCATTTAGTGATCTGTATAAGTGCCGTGGTTACGATGACGTATATGATTTCTGACGTCATTTGTATATCAACCAATGACCCGATCCGATCGAAAATCTTCTGTTCATCCTTGTTCATGGTCGGCATAGCAACAATGACACAAACGTTACTGGGTATAAGGTAAGTCGCTGAAGCGAATAGTGAGCATTAAAGTAAGTGTTTCAGATGTGAATCATTTACAATATACAAAAAATATATAATATTTATATAGTTTGTACTGCTGTAGAACCGTAAATAAAACCCAATAACACGAATGCCAAATATTGACAAAATAATTCTATGAATACCATTGCATAAGTTTGGAATATAATCCAAATGTACCGGGAAATTTTACTTTTTGTTCATAGACGTTACTCATCAACTATATAATGAAAAATGAAAATAATGGCAAGCTCTCAAAGTCAGAGTCGAGTAAATGACAAGAGAACTGACAGTTATGCAAATCTGAGAACGTAGAGATTAGTAAAAGACGCAATATATATTGACTATAAAACAAAACAGTATCACAGTCGTCTCGTCGTCCTAGAACTCGTCAATGATCTCAGGACAAAAAAGTGTTCATCAGTCTAAAGAAGAAGCATATTGTGACTCTCTTCAATTATATGTCAACTTCTGAAAAAGCAAAATATTGTACCATGTACAAAGAGATCTCGAAAGAAATTCGTTTTCTGATGTTGTAAATGTGATGTTAGAATTTGTACCCTTACCTTCCGTTAGGATGAACGCATGTAATTAATTCAAGGGTTGATGTTCTTCCTGTTATACACAGGTTACCAGTATTTCAGGGTCCATCTTTTACATTTCTGCCTCCACTTCTGGCGATGAAAACCAGTGGAGCATGGACCTGCCACACGCCTAATGAAGGTAATATTATCTATAAACCAATTTCGTGTTACTGTATGCAGAGACTGTTATTGTCTTGTTTTTCATTTTATTTTTTTTTTAGCGAAATATTATCTTTCATTTTATTCCGAAAAAGGGAAAATATTAATTCGTTGTAAAAAAAACAGATCTAAAAGGTAATAAATTGGAAAGAAAAGATATACTGTAAATCACCTATGTTTCGCGAATATTTTTTTTGCGGACTTATTCCAGAAATGATTAAATTATCGAGTGATGAGTTAATTGGTAATTAATATCATCGAGATTTATTTGCGTACAAATAAATGCGAGAGATTTGAATTCGCGATTAACTCTCTTCGTTTATTTACGCGAAAATAGATCCCACGCCAAATTTAAGTGAAATATAGTATGTTCGTTTTAACAGAAAATATTTAAAAGGACAATGGTCAAAATAAAAACATTTATTTACCTAGCAACAATGGTTTAACATCACTGTTATTGGCCCGGATTAAAGCACATGATTGTGGCTTATATGTGAAACCGCCTTCAAACAATAAAAATAAAATATAGACTATCTCAACACAATAAAATGTTCAAACAAGACTAATGAATTTTTTTTTTGAGCGAGAGCGGGGTATCTCAGTCGAAGGCTAAGATCCTGTAACATAATCCCAACCGAGGCATTAGCCGAGATCAGGAAGTTACAGAATCTTAGCCCGAGCGAGATAGGTTTATCTCATTCGAGGACTAAGATCCTACAACAAAATCCCAACCGAATGTTACAGGATCTTAGCCCGAGACTGAAATACCCAACTCTCGCTCTGTTACAGGTAATAGATTTTTTTTCTCGCATCTACTACTCTGAAAATTACTCAATATTTCATCTGAGTTTGGCGTATCCCGTGGGGGCCTCAAACTACCAACACAGCCTCTTTACTTTTAAACGTTTGGATAGTGCCGCGTAAACAATACAGGCCATACTAAAAATTAAGAGAGCGGGGTCGCATTTTCTTTTTCATTTTAAATATGATAAATGAAAAAGAATATCGTCGAAAGATTAACAACGACGTAACCTACGTTTTTGTTGAAATGCTCGAGTGTAGGTGCCACCTTCGCTTACACGCGGATGAATACACCGATGCTTTAAAAAAATCCGCGAAAACGCGCGTAATGGTACTAGACGGATCGGGCGAGATAGAAAAATGTAGGATGATGTATTACGTAGGATATCCCTGTTTGAAGTGCAAGAAAGTGTAATCTTTGACCTGTCCGTAGCTCGCTTTCTCTTTGGTTTCCCATTTTGGAAGAAAAGGAAGATCGTTCCTATGCGAAAATTTTTTTTCAATTACATGTACACGTAACAAGCGCATTGTTTAAAAAAACTTACACAAATACTGATTCCATTTAAACAGTAGAGTAAGACTGGGATTTACAAATCATAACTAAGTTTTGTGTTTACACTAACAACCGAGCTTACAACATTAATTCCAGATCACATTATTTACAGCATTTAACATAACCTCAAACCTTACCACAGAAATGCCCCCCTACATAGACGAGGACACCAAATATACCAGGCTGAATGAGGTAAGATACATTCTGTATTAATGTAAAATTTTTGTGGGTCCTTATTTTCCGTCTTACATTCACCTCATTGCATAATCTTCCTCCAAACTAGTAGATATCAACTTTTATTTTAAATCTTGACCAATGTCCGTTATAACTGACCATTCAGATTCAGCGTTCGTCCACGGCTCATCACATCAATAATGCTACGTACCAATACTGTGCAGGATTGGCAGAGTTAAATCGAGCTTAATACATTTTCACAAGAAATATAATTAATTTTGATAATTAAGAATACTGAGTATTTTTTTTTAAAAAAATAGTACATACATTCTTTTCATAATATCTGCCAATATGGAGACATTGTGCTTACTTCCGCAAATGTTGGGGACCAACAAACAATATAACAATTTTCAAGGATGTTTCATAGTTACATTTTAATACTTGTATGACATTGTTTCATGAATTTTAATGATTGTTTGGACATTCTGAACCCGTGCTTCTATCTATAAAATGAATATAACGTGTATGTCAACATAATGATAATCCAAACTCAAATTCAATAAAACTAAGAAAAATTTGAACTAAAAAAAAAATTTACATGGAGACTACTGAAATGTACAAGGAGGATAAGACTAGATGTTTCGGAATGGTTAGCGACAGACGCTTCGTCGACGAGAATCGCCATGTAAATATTGGTCAATTCAAGTAAGTAATGTCACGTTCTCAAATAAGAACAATGTAAACAACAACCGAACTAACGAGTATCAAACACGTCAAGATTCATATTACACAAAGAGATATGATATTTGTAAGATAGAACGCTTGTACCAGTTACCATATCAAACCACTAAATATTTTGATATTAGAATTATCGTTACTTGTGAGACCTATATGTTAGGAATCACCAGTAAATATTCTCTGCTTCAATTAATTTACAATTACAAAGATTTCAGTTACAGGGTAGCCTCCTCCTAGCCTCACTTGTGGAGGTTGCGCTGGGAGCGACAGGGGCTGTTGGGGTACTTCAAAGGCTGATTGGACCAATCACAATTTCCGTTACAGTCTTCCTCTTAGGATACTCGCTTTATCCCGTGTCTATTCATTACAGCCACAGCTATTGGCCGATCGCTATTATGTAAGTATTAACGTTGAATAAAGACTGAAATATACGTTCATGTGGTTACAAGTTTGATTGAAATACATTGAATTGAAGAAAAAGTCCGATACATACCAAATGTATTATAATTACAGGAGCGCCCTCTTAGTGATGCTGTTCGGAATCTATCTAGCGCATGTGAAGGTTAAGCTGCCGAAATGCTTCCGAAAATCTAATACGGACATACCAGCCAAGGACTATTCCGTTTTCAACGTGTTTGCGGTATTGTTTGATCAGAGAGAGCAAATGAAACATGTCACGTGTTCTATAAAATTCAATTTAGGGTTGACATGTCACGTGGTCTATAAAATCAAATTTCAGGGTGACTGAAACGATACATATTTGTATGTCTGTTTCAGCCTTCGTCTTTTGCTTGAACAGCCATACTTTGGAAAATAAACAATTCTGAACCGTTTCTGGAGATGATATCCGGACATATTTGACTGGCGATCTTTCTATTTACAGATACCCTTTAGCATAGCTATCACGTGGGTTATGTGCTTTGTGTTAACCCAAGTGGGCGTATTCTCAGAAGATCCAACAGACACTGCCTATCGGGCCAGAACCGACACCAGGTCCGCCCTGTTAGATCGGACACCCTGGTTTTATTGGCCCTACCCAGGTGAGACCCCGTATTCGTTATGTCAAAATCCTAGTTTCCCAGACTGTACCCAGGTGAGACATTGTCCTCATTATGCCGAAACCATGGCTTTACGGGCGTTACCTAGGGGAAAGCTATTCTCATCAGATCGATATCCCACTTTTTCAGGCCGACACCAGATGAAACCCGTCCTTCATTTTGTCAATATCATGGTTTTTGGGTATCTATGGGAGACCTTTTTTCAATATATCGAAACCCTAGTTTTACAGTCCAAGAGTAGTTCTCATTATGTCGATATCCAGGATCAAAAGTACGTTCGCAGATGAGAATCTTCCTTATGACTTCCCAGGCTTTACAAGCAGTCCTCATTATGTCGATGTCTATGTTGTAGAGACCATGTCCAAATGACAGTAGTCCTCATTATCTCGAATTTCATGTTTAGCTGATCGTTGAGAATAGTAATGTCGTCTTTATGTCGAAATCCTTGCCAAAAATGTCGTCCGATGAATCCCTACAAAATTTGTGAAAAGAAATGACCTTGACTGATATTCAATATCACAGGGGTCAAATGTGTTAAAACCTTTAAACAAGCTCTTTTCAGGAATTAATAGGCGTAGAGGCATGATATATATATTTGGCTGGTATGTTCCTGTATGAAGCCTAACAAACTTGCAAAACGAAATTACTTTGACTTATATTCAAGGTCACAGGGGCCAAATTTGTGAAAACATTTAAATAATTTCTTCTCACGAACTAATAGGCTTTTTAGAGGCACGATATTTTGGCTGGTATGTTCGTAGGATGAATCCTGACAAGTTTTGAAACATAAATGACCTTGACCTATGTTCAATGTCACAGGGGTCAAAATAGAAAAAAACACACCATTTGAATGACCTCTTCTCACGTGCTAAAAGGCAATGTATTTATTAAATCTTTGACGTACACCCTTGAAACTTGACAAATGTGTGCATTTGAGTTAGGTCCCTATTTTACCGTATTAAAATCATTGATGCATAACTAAACTGCGCACGTCGCTTGTACAAAATAATAAGAGACAAAAGCACGATATCTCGAACCCAGTATAAAGGATTGGTTCAAAATCTGTGTGTGCGAATCTTCAGACATATCCATCTTGATTTCCAACATTTTAAGCATAAACAGTTTACCGTAAAAATGCCACGACTGTCTGAAGTTGACAGGGGTCGTGCCATTGCACTTCTTATTCAAGGTACCCGGCAAAATCAGGTCGCTAATCAATTTGGAGTCCACCAATCGAACATTTGCCGTCTCATCCAAATACTACATGCCACCCGAAGGGTTGCAGACCGTCCCGAAGCAGTCGCCCTCGTGTGAACTGAAATGATGAAGAATTAATAATTATGTTTTTGTTAAAAAAAATTAAATTCCTAATGAAATAACAATACAGCCGAAAAAATGTAAGAAAAAAAAAAAAAACCTTTTGCATGATTTAACGTAGATTGTCAATGACAATGATGACGTCAGAAGACGCGTTACTCCTGAATACTTATTTTGCTTGTTGTTTTCAAGTTAGTCAGTGTATTTTTCTCTCCCCTTCCTATTGATGAATTGATTGTTTTTTATCTAGTTCCGAGATGATTTCCAAGATATTCTTACGACGCTTGCCATAAAGGTAGCAATGACATAATTTTTGAGAGTACTGCTAGTAATGACAGTATTTCTGAGAGAACTGCTGGTAATGACACTATTTCTGAGAGTACTACTAGTAATGACACTATTTCTGAGAGTACTGCTAGTAATGACACTATTTCTGAGAGTACTACTAGTAATGACACTATTTCTGACTCTAGTAATGACAGTATTTCTGAGAGTACTGCTAGTAATGACAGTATTTCTGAGAGTACTGCTAGTAATGACAGTATTTCTGAGATTACTGCTAGTAATGACAGTATATCTGAGAGTACTGCTAGTAATGACACTATTTCTGAGAGTACTGCTAGTAATGACAGTATTTCTGAGAGTACTGCTAGTAATGACACCATTTCTGAGAGAACTGCTAGTAATGACACTATTTCTGAGAGTACTGCTAGTAATGACACTATTTCTGAGAGTACTGCTAGTAATGACACTATTTCTGAGAGTACTGCTAGTAATGACACCATTTCTGAGAGTACTTCTAGTAATGACAGTATTTCTGAGATTACTGCTGGTAATGACACCATTTCTGAGAGTACTTCTAGTAATGACAGTATTTCTGTTAGTAATGACACTATTTCTGAGAGTACTGCTAGTAATGACACTATTTCTGAGAGTACTACTAGTAATGACACTATTTCTGAGAGTACTGCTGGTAATGACAGTATTTCTGAGAGTACTGCTAGTAATGACAGTATTTCTGAGAGAACTGCTAGTAATGACACTATTTCTGAGAGTACTGCTAGTAATGACACTATTCCCGAGAGTACTGCTAGTAATGACAGTATTTCTTAGAGTACTGCTAGTAATGACACTATTTCTGAGAGAACTGCTAGTAATGACACTATTTCTGAGAGTACTGCTGGTAATGACAGTATTTCTGAGAGTACTGCTAGTAATGACACTATTTCTGAGAGTACTGCTAGTAATGACACTATTTCTGAGAGTACTGCTAGTAATGACACTATTTCTGAGAGTACTGCTAGTAATGACAGTATTTCTGAGAGTACTGCTAGTAATGTATTACTGCTAGTAATGACACTATTTCTGAGAGTACTGCTGGTAATGACACTATTTCTGAGAGTACTGCTGGTAATGACACCATTTCTGAGAGTACCACTAGTAATGACAGTATTTCTGAGAGAACTGCTAGTAATGACACTATTTCTGAGAGTACTGCTAGTAATGACACTATTTCTGAGAGTACTGCTAGTAATGACAGTATTTCTGAGAGTACTGCTAGTAATGACACCATTTCTGAGAGAACTGCTAGTAATGACACTATTTCTGAGAGTACTGCTGGTAATGACACCATTTCTGAGAGAACTGCTAGTAATGACACTATTTCTGAGAGTACTGCTAGTAATGACACTATTTCTGAGAGTACTGCTAGTAATGACAGTATTTCTGAGAGTACTGCTAGTAATGACACTATTTCTGAGAGTACTGCTAGTAATGACAGTATTTCTGAGAGTACTGCTAGTAATGACAGTATTTCTGAGAGTACTGCTAGTAATGACACTATTTCTGAGAGTACTGCTAGTAATGACAGTATTTCTGAGAGTACTGCTAGTAATGACACTATTTCTGAGAGAACTTCTAGTAATGACAGTATTTCTGAGAGTACTGCTAGTCTGACAGAGTACTGCTAGTAATGACACTATTTCTGAGAGTACTTCTAGTAATGACAGTATTTCTGAGATTACTGCTAGTAATGATAGTATATCTGAGAGTACTGCTAGTAATGACACTATTTCTGAGATTACTGCTAGTAATGACACTATTTCTGAGAGTACTGCTAGTAACGACACTATTTCTGAGAGTACTGCTAGTGCTAGTAATGACACTATTTCTGAGAGTACTGCTGGTAATGACAGTATTTCTGATAGAAATGACTGTATTTCTGAGAGTGCTGCTAGTAATGACGGTATTTCTAAGAGTACCGCTAGTAATGACACTATTTCTGAGAGTACCACTAGTAATGACAGTATTTCTGAGAGAACTGCTAGTAATGACACTATTCCCGAGAGTACTGCTAGTAATGACAGTATTTCTTAGAGTACTGCTAGTAATGACACTATTTCTGAGAGAACTGCTAGTAATGACACTATTTCTGAGAGTACTGCTGGTAATGACACTATTTCTGAGAGTACTGCTAGTAATGACACTATTTCTGAGAGTACTGCTAGTAATGACAGTATTTCTGAGAGTACTGCTAGTAATGACACTATTTCTGAGAGTACTGCTAGTAATGACACTATTTCTGAGAGTACTACTAGTAATGACACTATTTCTGAGAGTACTGCTGGTAATGACAGTATTTCTGAGAGTACTGCTAGTAATGACACCACTTCTGAGAGTACTGCTAGTAATGACACTATTTCTGAGAGTACTGCTGGTAATGACACTATTTCTGAGAGTACTTCTAGTAATGACACTATTTCTAAGAGTACTGCCAGTAATGACACTATTTCTGAGAGTACTGCTGGTAATGACAGTATTTCTGCTAGAAATGACTGTATTTCTGAGAGTGCTGCTAGTAATGACGGTATTTCTAAGAGTACCGCTAGTAATGACACTATTTCTGAGAGTACCACTAGTAATGACAGTATTTCTGAGAGAACTGCTAGTAATGACACTATTTCTGAGAGTACTGCTAGTAATGACACTATTTCCGAGAGTACTGCTAGTAATGACAGTATTTCTTAGAGTACTGCTAGTAATGACACTATTTCTGAGAGAACTGCTAGTAATGACACTATTTCTGAGAGTACTGCTGGTAATGACACTATTTCTGAGAGTACTGCTGGTAATGACACCATTTCTGAGAGTACTGCTAGTAATGACAGTATTTCTGAGAGTACTGCTAGTAATGACACTATTTCTGAGAGTACTGCTAGTAATGACAGTATTTCTGAGAGTACTGCTAGTAATGACACTATTTCTGAGAGAACTGCTAGTAATGACACTATTTCTGAGAGTACTGCTAGTAATGACACTATTTCTGAGAGTACGCTAGTAATAGTATTTCTGAGAGTAAGTAATGACACTATTTCTGAGAGTACTGCTAGTAATGACACTATTTCTGAGATTACTGCTAGTAATGACACTATTTCTGAGAGTACTGCTAGTAATGACACTATTTCTGAGAGTACTGCTAGTAATGACACTATTTCTGAGAGTACTGCTAGTAATGACAGTATTTCTGAGAGTACTGCTAGTAATGACACAATTTCTGAGAGTACTGCTAGTAATGACAGTATTTCTGAGAGTACTGCTAGTAATGACAGTATTTCTGAGAGTACTGCTAGTAATGACACTATTTCTGAGAGTACTGCTATTTCTGA